TAGTACATCTCAATAAATGTAACCCACATAAATCAAAGCTCTTTGGGGTCCTCAATCATTTTTATAAATATAAATATAAATATAAAAAATACAAATCTTATGATCTTATGTCAGCTTTCCTTTGCTTTACAGACCTGCAAAGGTTGTAAATGTGAAGATTGGTTGCAAAGTTACTTTTTCTCACTGTTGTAACTGCGAATGGTCATTAAATGAGGCAGTTGCTAAACAAGGACTATCTGTCTATACAACACTGGTGCTTGTACAACAGTGGTAGGATTTCAATCATGCTGCCTTGACCACTATCTTGACTTTTTGACCCTCCCATCAATGCAACCCCATACAAGCCAGATGCAAGAATATTGCACAAAGCAGTAACAATGTCTATATTCAGGCAATGCTTCCTGCATCTGTAACATAATATTAAAGTTGGTGCTTAATTATAGTTTGCCTAAAAAAAATTATACATACCCTTTGCTTAAATATTCTTCCTTTCACAGAACCTGAAGTTGGAGACTCCTCCTTGTTTGTACATAAACAGAAGTACAGCAGTGCTATCTCCATGTATGATCTTCTTATTAATCTGCAAAAAATAAATTAAAAAGCAAGGAATCCAAACATCTTATGTTAGCATTTTGCAAATATTTATTTTATATTATGTGATAAGTGAATAAGTTTTATCCAGGCCTTTTAAATGTCTTATAGGCTGAACTTTTCAGTGTAAATTCTATGTTTTAATTACCATTTTCTTTACTAATACTAAACTAAAGAACATAGGGGGGGGGAAACTCTGCTCACCTGTAGTGCTGGTAACTCTTCAGGCTTACATTTATGGCATCCAGCAAACTGTCAACAGCTAATTCTGATTTATTAAGACCTAATGAATCAAGTTGTCGTTCTATTCTTCCTAAAAATGACACATATGAATTTATTTTTATTTAAGAGATTTGCTTTTCCTGATAGAGTTAACAAAACAGAATACTGTTTTTAAATGATATTTTCTTAAGAACTTTTGAAAACAGAAAAAGAAAAGACAGACAAGGAAAAGAGAAAAAAATAAAGAAAAATTAAACACAAACTAAGGAAACGGAATTTACAAGTATCATGGAATTAAGTTTAAATGTTCAATATTCCATTAATTTTAAGTAACCAAACATATTGTTTTGAAAACTACAGATCACTGTTAAAATCCAAATAATATATGAATATCAACAGTAGGATCTACACAATGTAAATCATAAAATAAGATTAAGAATAACAGTAAATTCTATTGAGCATCTGAAAATGTATTTTCATCAAACAGATTATTGAGAGCTAGAATATTAAGACTTTATGTTAAGAGAAACTCAAACTTTGGATGTGGTACAAGTACACATATAGAATTGTAATCCAAAAATGATTTCAAAGTCGAGTTAAATTCTGTGTCAGATTTACTTTTAACATGCAAAATTTAATATCAAGGCATATTCCCATAACTTAATTAGCCATTCTTCTGCAGAGGGAACTATACATACTTTTCAGTAGGAAGCAAAGAGTGTACAATATTATAAATTGTTAGGGAGCTAAATTGCCAAGTCCCTCTAGGTCTCAGATGCAACATGAAAATACGAGTAGTCCTTCAGAAAAAAAAAAGAGTTATTACCTTTTCGAAAAAGAAGTTCTGCTTCTAGATCTAAATCTTCTGTTATTGATCCTATACAGAGATCTAGTGCTGTTTCTGTGTATTGTAAGGCTTGTAGCCACTGTAACTCACTTTGTGGTTTGGATTGACATGATAATTCTAAAGTTAATGTGTGTCCTAGAAATCAATTTACAGGAAACTATTTCACCAATTATTTCTAAAGCAAAATAAAAATCAAATATTGAATTCATGAAATATAGTCCCTTAACATAAGAATTGTTGCAGGCATATACATTACAATGGAATTTAGAAGCAAATACTGTACATTTATCTAAACTACATACAGGTAGTCCTCGCTTAATGACCCTAATTGGGACCACCAACTCTGCTGCTAAGCGAAGTGGTCGCTAAGCGGGAAATCACATGACCTTGACTGTGCTTTCCTGCTGGAAAGAAACAAGACTAGTCAGTTTCATACCTTCTGCCTTTGTTTGCCTCCTAACAATTCCCCGCCCTTTGGAATGCTCGAGTACCTGTTTACTGCCTTGTACACATCAAAAACAATGTGATCACATCAACAGCTGGGGGCTGGGAGCTGTGGGTGTGCTACGCAAACAGCTTACTCTCTTGAAACCTCTTCCTCTCCAATCTCTCTGGTCTGTGGGTGTGGGGGGGGGAGAAAAAAAAGCAAGCTATTTCTGTAGGCAATCTCTCCTTTGCGTGACCCTTCCCCCCACACCCCCCTGCAGAGCAGAGAGATTGGAAAGGGATTTCAAGAGAGCGTAAGCTGTTTGCTCTTCTACACCTCAAAAGCAATGTGATTGCACTGGTAGCAGGAAGGGTCAGGCAAAGGAGAAATTGGCTACAGAAATCACTTGCATTTTTTTCTCCATCCCACCTCGGAGAGAAGAGAGATCAGACAGAATGAGATTTCAAGGGAGTATTGTAAGCTGTTTGTATAGCATGCCTGTGGCTCCCAGCCCTGGGTTGCCAGCGCAATCGCATTGCTTTTGATGTATAGAAAAACAAACAGCTTACTTTCTTGCAACCCTTCTCTCCAATCTCTCTGCTCTGAAAGGGGGTAAAGAAAGGAAAAAACACAGGTCAGGCACAGGACAACGTGTACTGACTATAATGGTGATCACATGACTGAGGAATGCTGCGAAGGTCATAAATGGACTGTAAAGTTATTTTTTCAGCATCGTCGTAACTTTGAACGGTCGCTGAATAAATGGTCAGTAAGCGAATCACAATTGACTCATTAATCTAACATGTGAATTGGAATGATTGAAAGTCAATTTATCTTTGAAACAAATACTTTTGCAAAGGGTCCTCCATAGAATGCTGGTTTTAAATACAAAATCATATAACTTCCACTTGATTCACACTTTCCTTAATTCTCATTCCATTGTATGTCATTATTCCCTCAATATCTTTTCATTACTCAAAGGAAAACATTGTAGTTAAGCAGCAAAAGTTACAACCAGAGGCTGTAACCAGAAAAATCTGGTAATCATGAAAGGATATGCTGAGGAAAGAAGAAGCAATTCAATCAATTAATTACATTTTTAGTTTCTGCAACTCTGCCTTTTAGAAAAGACGTACTGCAGCTCAAATGAAAACTTTTCATCATACAAAAATGAAAGCTTTAGCTAGCTTCCTAGGTATTGCTTCCAAGTTTGACTGAAGAATTAGGAATTCTGCCTCACTTGATGAAGATTATTTTAATATAGGTACATTAAACATTATTCTGTTTGTTTTGTACAGGTTATACCTGCCATAAATGGTCAGAAGTATGAAACATAAAATAGTTGTAGGCATAGTAAGTCATATATAATCATCCTAATTGTTTTGCTTTTCAATGAATTTGCACGAACTGATGCCAGCAAAAAATGTATGTCCTTAAATACAGACAGTCCCCTACTTACGAACAGGTTACATTCCAAGAGGCTGTTCGTAAGTCCATTTTGTTCGTAAGTCCAACCAAGTAAAAAGTACTGTAAAAAGTAAAAAAAAAAGAGGAAGAGGAAGAGGAAGAGGCAGGAGGCAGGGCAGCGGTGTGGACAGAGGAGCCCTGTCTTCTGCTGACAATGCAAGGAGAGATAGCCAGTGGGGTACGGTGCGCTCTGTTGCCAAGCAAGGCAGGAGAGGCAGTGATGGCTCCCTAGGCAAAGGGGGCAGCTGTGCAGGAGGCAAAACTGCTGGTCCTTCACAAGGTCTTGCAGGAGGAAGGCTGAAGACTGTGCAGTCTCCCAAAGCGCATTGTAAACTCCATTGCAAACTGCCAATCTCCCAGAAGGTGGGAGAAGGCAGGAAAGAGTTAGTTGATGGCACGCCGCATATGGGAGGTTGGATGTTTGAATTGGAGTTCCTGGAAAGGGTTAGTTTATGTGGCGCTCTTGTCGCTGGGTAAGGCAGGAGAGGCAGCAGTGGCTCCCTGGGTGAAGGGACGAGCCAGTGGGATGCGGCACGCTCTGAGGCCAGCAACAGCCACCGCCATCTCTCCTGCCTCACCCAGAGAGCGCACTGTGTAAACTAACCCTTTCCGGGAACTCCAACTGCAACACAAATCTCCAACTTCCTGGAAGGTTGGAGAAGGCAGGAAAGGGTTATTTTGCAGTGCACTGGAAAGTAACCCTTTCTCTCCTCCTGACTTCAGGTCCATCTTGTTCATATCAGTGAAAGTTTGCAACTCGAAAGTTCACAAGTAGGGGACTATCTGTATGAAATTAATGGAATTCCACATATCTTAAACCACTTAAGTATATTAAATGATCTTCAGAAATAACAAAAGTTTGTACTGTATTAAAAAGTCTTTACCAATTCTCATTTTGACTTTTGCCAGTAGTGTGATATGTGGCAGGTATATGTTCATCATAGGTTCTTTCAGAGTTGTTAAAGTAGAATCTTGTGCATGTTGTCCAAGTGATTGCCCCAAAATAAATAGCTGTTAAAAATATCAAACTTGTAATAAAAGATATGTATATTATCAAAATATCCTAAGGGACAAATCATTCAGCCCCATAATAACTCATAATAGCCCAATGGCATGGAACATCAATTTACTGACTGGGGAAAAATACACAAAGGGAAGGGAATAGCTGGAAAGTAAAAAGACACATAGATATATCTCATTGTCTAAATAGATCATTTCCTGGTTCATACTTAAAAGCTTTATTAAAGTGTCCTCAAGAATAGAAGGAAGAACTTTCTCTAAAAAATTTACAAAAAATCCAGGATTTAATGTATCTAGAATTGGTCATCTATGTCTTCTGAGCCCCGATATCAACACAAATTAAAAAATATATTTTATATATAGGTAAGTGGAAGTGAACCCTCAAAATTCCCTAATGAGGGTTCATGCTCAGTTGGCCCAGAACGCTAACTAACAGTTGGGAGAGAAAAGAAAAGAAAATCCAACAGAAGGCTGTGGAATGAAGAAAACTCTATGATGCAGTATTTGGTGAAGAGGCTAAGCTTACTAAATACTTACTATTTTCAACTAAATAAAACAAAGACTTGTAATTCGTCTTTGTGTACTCAATTCATAGATTTCAACTATATTCCAAAAATAATCCATTCATTGTAAATCAGTTTCAGCAAATAAGAAATGACTACATTTCCTTCAAGGTGGGCAACTGAATAATAAGCTGGCAAATCAAGAGCCAATGATAGTAAGATGATTTGGATCAGGGAAACCAGGATCAGATCCATGGACCTGACAGTAACTTGTGCAGCTTTTCTACATTCTATCTATCTATCCACATATACACACACTTGCACTTACTGAATACAGGGATAAAGGGAACAATTTTTTTTTCTAAGAGTTTGAAAGGCAATTTATTCATAGAGCATAGTCTAGTGTTGAAAATGCAAAAGACCAAAACAATAAAAGGTTCCTGCCACACAATCCATCTCAATTGCACCCATCCCTTGCATACTTGACCCAATTTAAAAAAAATAAATGTGATTTTATTCCTGGCCCAGTTTTAAAAGTCAAGCTACACATGACATTAAATTCATTTTTGCATTTAACATGCATTTTTAAACTTAAAATTGCATTAGCTGAGGATGAGACTGATAATTAATGGAATAAGAACAGACACAGAGAAGAACTTAAGCCTTTCAAATGATGCTATGGCCAGTGCTATTGACCATATATAGGCAGCAAACACTGAAAAAATATATTAGTATTCAATTATTAGTGTATACTTACCTGTTTAATTACTAGTGCATGTGCCTGAATTAATACATTCAGCTGGTCAGTTTTAGATGATTCTGAATTTCCTTCTGTTTCTGTTCTCATTATGTCAGCTAGCAGAAGCATACTTTGTACTAATATTAAATTAGCTGGCGGAGAAATCAGTGTCTTTTCCTCAAGCAACTTGATTACATTCTGTATGAACAGAAGAGGATAGACAGACAGACAGATCTACACCTTCAGCTCTCAAATTCTATGATCAAAAACCCATTTTCTAAATTTATCCTGTTTTCTATCACTACCTCTCCTGCCAATCATTAGTCCTGTTTTATAGATGAATATACAGAATTTTTGACTGCAGCATCTGTAGAGTATAGCAATAAACCTCTTAAGACTATGCAGAGTTTTGAACAACAGTGACTCTTCTCACAATTAGCTTCAAGTTAGCAGAATGGTTGGGAAGCACTTACTACACATATTTAACATAGCTAAATTATAATCTTCCTTCATGCGGTAATCGCTCCACACAAAAATTATGTGAATACCACATGCCTGAAAATTTTATTTCTGCATTCTTCTTAGGAAATATTGAAACATTTAGGCAGTGATATGAAAATAATTAATCTCTGGTTATTTTATAGTAGAATACTAATTAAATTATGAAAAGCATCAAAATTCATTTGTTTCATAAGAATGATACTGGGAAAAATTGATAATTCACTTTTATGTTCAAACCTGTAAGCAAAGCTTAATATCAGCCACTGGTAGTCTTTCTTGAAGGCCAAGCATGACAGCTTGCATAGTAATTTCAGCAAGAGTCTCAACATCATTGAATGCTTCAGCTTCCATTTGTACTTCATTAATCAGACGAGAACACTCTGTTAATTCATTTTCTTGAAGAAAACGTAATAATACAATTCCATCAATAACAATTATGATACAAATATCAGTTTATAACTTTTTTATTATTGTAACTGATATTAAAGATATCTATAGCACTTTCAACTTAATTTTTTAATATAATTTTATCAGAAATATTAACAAAAGTAGTACTGTGTCCGATAAACTTTACATTGCTTTCATTATCTCAATATAGTACAGGTAGTCCTTGCTTAACTATGGTAATTGGGACCAGAATGTTCATCGCTAAGTGATGCAGTTGTAAAGCACAATGTCATGTGACCACACTGCTTAACGACAGCAGTTCCGGCAGTCCCGGGTCATTGTCATTAGGTAAATCACTCCAGGTCAAAGCGAAGACCCCACATGATTGCAACTTCCAACGTCCTGCTGGTTTCCCCACTGACTTTGTTATGATCTTGCAGGGAAGGTCACATATTGTGGGACACTGCGAAGGTCGGAAATCTGGGCCATGATCACATGACTGTGGGGGTACTACCATGGCCAGAACTTTGAGGACCAGTCATAAGTACCACTTGTTCAGCACTGTTGTAAGTTTGAACGGTTGCTGAATGAATGGTTGTTAACTGAGGACCACCTGTAGAGATTTACAAAGTTACCTGAATGCTCAAGAGGACTCAACGTCTAATTATGATAATTCACATTGGTTTATAGTGCCAGCAAGATGCAACAACAATCAGCTTCTACAAAAAAGAAGTATTTCTGGACAAGGTAATAATCATGGCAAAACATGCTTAAATATATAAATATATCTGAAGGGATAACACAGATAGTTTGAGAATTAAATATTTATGTATTTAACTGACTTTACGTACCACTGACTACTGATTACCTTTCATCGCTTCAATGCCTCGTGCCTGTGCTATACTTGCAGTCACTAATGCCAAACGACACTTTAGCCATACATGTATATTCAGATGTTCCCGTGCTGTTACATTGTGAATTAGATTGGAGTCCTCAGTATAAATCCCTCCATCATTTCCCTTATCAAAAAGGAAAAATGAACTGGATTACTAGGTTCAGTGTTCAATTGTTCTGTAATTGATTAGTGCATTTTTAACATATAGAATGTCTCTAATACAGACAATTACTCATTAAAATGTTCTGTTTGGTGTAAAATATGTAGATTACAATATGCCATACTCTATAATATTTCTGTATTAAACTAAAAATCCATAAAATAATAACATAACAGAATAATTTAAAACTATTTTGTAATATTCATTATAATTTTGATGCCCATAATGCTTTCACCACTACCTTCCCTCATCAACTTAATAAAAGATCAATACTGAAATATACCTTATCTGATTTCTCTGCATCTTGTTGAGAATTAGATGTATCTATGAACACATCTGCATCTTGAAGAAGTTTTATTGCAGAAAAAACCAATGCAGCACTGTAACAAAAAAGCACAATAAAACTTGTGTACATTTTATATATTCTATATGCTTATGCAATAATTCTACTTACCGGTTTCCACTCATTTATTTATGAGACTTGATTCATTTGTGCAAAAAGAAGTGAGCCTCTGACAACAGGAGCCTATTCCAAAGGATCTCTCTCACATCTTAATGGTCAGACAGGTTTGTAATTGGAGAGGCAATCCTTTAGATCAGTGTTTCTCAACCTTAGCAACTTTAAAATGTATAGACTTACTTAAAGTCCACACACCTTAAGGTTGCTGAGGTTAAGAAACACTGCTTTAGATATGCAGGCTCTAAGTTGTATAGAACTTAAAGTTCAATATAAATTTCTTAAATTATGTCCAGTAAGTAATTGGCAACCAGTGCAAATCTCTCCATGGAAACATCATGTCATGCCTGCATCTTGTATTGGCTGAACAGCCCCCTTCCATATTTACACCAATTGCAATTTCTAGATACTTTTCAAGAATAGCTGTACCTACAGCTCATTGCAACAATCAAGGTATAAATAACTGTTGCCGTTATTTAACAGCTCAGGAAGAATCACAGCTGGAACACTAGCCATAATAGTGCAAATGTGCTTCTTGCCACAGCCACCAGCCGTGAATTTAGTGACAAGTTAGGATCAACCAGTACTCCCAAGCTGAGGACTTGCTCTTTCAGAGGACTACAGCACCACAAAAACAGGCTGATGTTTAATCCTGTTTTCTTACTTATCAGTGCCGTCTTGTTTATATTTAATTTCAGCTTCTTCTTCCTCATCCAGCTCAGTACTGAAATTTAGCTACATCCAAAGGCACTGATTGTTTCCTTGGAGGTGGATGCATATCTATTAATTAACATTAAATAACATTATATTATAACCTTATCAATAAACCACTGCTTTTCTAATTTTTCAACATTTAAAAATGAAGTTAAAAAGAAAAAAAAATATCAGCATAACATAATCACTCATGAGGCACTGTTTTCAGCAACTGTTTATTTTATTCCTAGTGTAAAAATTGGATTTATTCAAAATAGCTGAAAAACTTTTTTTATTCACCTGAAAGCTGTTTGGAGCCTCTGTTGAGCAATAGCTGCAAGCTGAAGTTTAGCTTCAATGACAATCTCCAGTACTACAGCTGAACACTTATATATCAGTGCACCATACTTATTTTGTATGGTTTCAAGAATTAAACTTATCCTTTCTTCAGCTTCTGTCAATAAAATTCCCTAAAATAATTGAAATGATATCACTGATCAAGTAGTAAAATGAAGGATTTTTTAAAGAAACACAACTATTTAAATATGAGCAAACAACACCATTAAGAAGCAGGTTACCTTCATCTTATGTGAATTAAACAGATTTAAACATTACAGAATACAGTGGTACCTCTACTTATGAACGTAATCCATTCCGTGACTCTGATCGCAAGTCAAGTTGGTCACAAGTCGAAGTAAATTTTCCCATAAGGTTCAATGTAATTACCGTTAATCCGTTCCAGCGTCCATGGACCACGCGTCAGGGGCGGAAAAACAGCCGCTGACCACGCGGCAGGGCAGAAAAATGGCTGCGGACCACATGTCAGGGGCGGAAAAATGGCCACGGACCACGTGGAACGGACGGAAAAATGGCTGCGGACCATGTGTCAGGGGCGGAAAAATGGCCGTGGACCACGTGGAACGGGCAGAAAAATGGCCGCGGACCATGTGGCACGGGCGGAAAAATGGCCGCAGAGCACGTGGCGCGGGGAAATGGCCGCGGACCACGTGGAACGGGCAGAAAATGGCCGCGGACCATGTGGCACGGGCAGAAAAAGGGCCGCAGAGCACGTGGCGCGGGGAAATGGCCGCGGACCACGTGGAACGGGCAGAAAAATGCCCGCGGACCACGTGGCACGGGCGGAAAAATGCCCGCGGACCACGTGGAACGGGCGGAAAGTGGCCGCGGATCCAGTTCATAAGTCAAGGCGAGTTCGTAAGTAGAGGTAAATTTTTGGGGCCGGAGCTGATCGTATCTCG